ATACTGGAGAAAAAGACAAAAATGGGGGTACACCGATGGAGACCTAGCCACTTGAGAGAACACAAGATGACACTAACTACTAAATCCTCTGATCGAGCCGTTTTAAAAACACATAAATTAAATTAAAATATTCGAGATCTCGGCTCGCCAAGATGTCTCTAACGGGCCGCATAGGTTGTTTTCCTCGGGTACCTGAGGGATGCGGATAACTCGGATCTAGCAACACAATGTAGGGTGCATGACCAAAGCACGTGAACGATATCGTGATAGCCACTACCGAGTCCGCTTTCTCATTACCCGGAATTGAGCAATGAGATGGGACCCAAACTAAGGTGATAGTATAGGAGCAGCTAGATAAAGTACTCAATTTAGCTCGGATTTCGGTCAGGAATGGACCACTCTTGATAAGGTTTATAAAGCATGTTTGAGCAGCATGTTACTCTTCAAAAGGTTCTCATAGCCTCTTTAAGAGTAATATTTTATCCAAGCGGTTTTATTACGCTTTGTTGAAAATCAGTTATAAATTCAATTTTATTTTTATTGCTTCAAAGCAACCGCCATAAATTAGCTTGTTGTTGTTCTGTTTTGCTGAAACTTTTTTTCATTCCATATGGAAATCTTTCGCTGTGAAAATAGGTTTGAGTGTTGGTGTCAAGATCACCATGCTATCAATTTTGTTTCATGGTGACATTAGTGAAAACCTTAAAGAAAAAATATGACTTTTTAGAAGTTCCAAGACATTTACTGTTGAAATTTTATCGTGTTTATTGGGATAATATGAGCGTTAAATAAATGCGCCTCCAAAATAGTTCAGGTAAACAAAAAAGATTGTTTCAGAGATCAAATGAATTCGATGGAATCATCTTAATTTTTCAGAAAATAGATCTCAATAAATAAATTCATACCAATGCACACTGGAAATCATTTCGGATCTTTAATTTAGCCATTATTTTATTGAAATTTCTTGGATTTTATTCCGAAGCTAATGGAAGTTTCGTAATGACAATATGGCGACAGGGGACAGCAGGCAAGAAAAACACCAAGCGCAATTTCTTAAAATGTCTAATGCTTACATTGGATGAAAGCAGAACAGGAAAGCATAATGCATGATTTTATTTCGAGTCCTATTTTCTTTTTACAAGAGCAATTCATTTTTTTTTATTTGAGGGCAAATGTATATTCCTATTCTGCGGGTGCAACTGATGAATTTTACAAACATTTGGAAAAGTTTGAATTGTACATTAACCTTTATGAAAAGTAATGCGTGATTTCAACTTTTTTGTCCTATAACTGTCACCATTCCATGTATTTCGACCAAGATTCGGCAGAGTCACCCCATGTATATGCGAGCGAGAACAGCACACTCTTTACTTTGTGACATCTGCTTCCTTTGTGACATCCGCAGAAATGCAGCGGTATTTTTTTTTTCTTGGTTGGAGTTATTAACCTTCGCGGCTGACTGTAGCAAATAAACGGGCTCATGCTAACAATTTTGTTGATTTTCTTTGCGCTCCGCTTGGAAGTACCGGAAAGTTATGATTCTTTTCTATGTTGTAAAAATAAACCACCCATTTACACTTCTGACAAGTTGCAACTTAATGCTTATAATTGCTTTGAAATAACTGTTTCATGGCCAACTAGCTTTATTGCGCTTACTTATATAGCAATATATGGATTTATTCTTGGGTTTTATAAGGGCAATTCATATTGCTTTTTTATACTTGAAGGCAATCATAAAACCTTTTATAAGTGAAAATAGCATCAGCATCAGTTGGTTTTTTTATAAGCCTTATAGGGGTTTTGTAGATAGCTATAAGAATGTTCCATGACTTGCATTGTATATGACCGTCATAAAGCTGTAGGTAATAGTTGCAGCTGCAATAAAACCTTTATGAATTTTGAATATAACCAAGCAGCTCTAGATTTGTTACTTGGGATTGTTGCGGTACGTTAGAAGTGTTAGATGTCTATTATTGTGTATAGAGGTCTTCATACACATCAATTGAGTTCTCCAAGCAGGATCTCACGAACACTACACTAATAATATTATTTTACACACACTAGCGTATACTGTCATTTGCACGGTAAGAATCAAACATCCATTTATGAGTAAAAGTGAACCCATTGTCAATAAAAGCGGCACTTCTAATTAATGAGTAACTTATTATACCAATTAAGTAGTAACTGTTAGCTACTGTTAGCAGAAAATCATTGTTGTTAAAATAATTTACTCATTAATGAGTAAAGCCACTTTTATTAAAAATGGGTTAACTTTTTCTCATAAAAGGGTATTTGACTGTTACCGTGCCAGCGTAGGGTTTGTTTTCGCTTTGTTGTTTATTTTTACTTTAGAATGACAGTTCTTACACCAAACAAAAAATTTCTCACAGCTAACAAAAAATTTCATCTCACTAACACACGCAAATTTCACCAATACGAACCCGCCTGGAGAGGACAATAGGCTCCTAACGCTTCGAACGTATCGCAACAATAGGACTGTTTCCCTTACCTTGTTTTTAAAAAGCACTGCATAACAATTTTTTTATTTGTATTTAACGCTAGCTGAGTGTGCCCGGCCTTGCTCGGGATTCAGTATAAGCTTGAGTTTATGTGCCAATTACGACAGACAGACAGACAGACAGACAGACAGACAGACAGACAGACAGACAGACAGACAGACAGACAGACAGACAGACAGACAGACAGACAGACAGACAGACAGACAGACAGACAGACAGACAGACAGACAGACAGACAGACAGACAGACAGACAGACAGACAGACAGACAGACAGACAGACAGACAGACAGACAGACAGACAGACAGACAGACAGACAGACAGACAGACAGACAGACAGACAGACAGACAGACAGACAGACAGACAGACAGACAGACAGACAGACAGACAGACAGACAGACAGACAGACAGACAGACAGACAGACAGACAGACAGACAGACAGACAGACAGACAGACAGACAGACAGACAGACAGACAGACAGACAGACAGACAGACAGACAGACAGACAGACAGACAGACAGACAGACAGACAGACAGACAGACAGACAGACAGACAGACAGACAGACAGACAGACAGACAGACAGACAGACAGACAGACAGACAGACAGACAGACAGACAGACAGACAGACAGACAGACAGACAGACAGACAGACAGACAGACAGACAGACAGACAGACAGACAGACAGACAGACAGACAGACAGACAGACAGACAGACAGACAGACAGACAGACAGACAGACAGACAGACAGACAGACAGACAGACAGACAGACAGACAGACAGACAGACAGACAGACAGACAGACAGACAGACAGACAGACAGACAGACAGACAGACAGACAGACAGACAGACAGACAGACAGACAGACAGACAGACAGACAGACAGACAGACAGACAGACAGACAGACAGACAGACAGACAGACAGACAGACAGACAGACAGACAGACAGACAGACAGACAGACAGACAGACAGACAGACAGACAGACAGACAGACAGACAGACAGACAGACAGACAGACAGACAGACAGACAGACAGACAGACAGACAGACAGACAGACAGACAGACAGACAGACAGACAGACAGACAGACAGACAGACAGACAGACAGACAGACAGACAGACAGACAGACAGACAGACAGACAGACAGACAGACAGACAGACAGACAGACAGACAGACAGACAGACAGACAGACAGACAGACAGACAGACAGACAGACAGACAGACAGACAGACAGACAGACAGACAGACAGACAGACAGACAGACAGACAGACAGACAGACAGACAGACAGACAGACAGACAGACAGACAGACAGACAGACAGACAGACAGACAGACAGACAGACAGACAGACAGACAGACAGACAGACAGACAGACAGACAGACAGACAGACAGACAGACAGACAGACAGACAGACAGACAGACAGACAGACAGACAGACAGACAGACAGACAGACAGACAGACAGACAGACAGACAGACAGACAGACAGACAGACAGACAGACAGACAGACAGACAGACAGACAGACAGACAGACAGACAGACAGACAGACAGACAGACAGACAGACAGACAGACAGACAGACAGACAGACAGACAGACAGACAGACAGACAGACAGACAGACAGACAGACAGACAGACAGACAGACAGACAGACAGACAGACAGACAGACAGACAGACAGACAGACAGACAGACAGACAGACAGACAGACAGACAGACAGACAGACAGACAGACAGACAGACAGACAGACAGACAGACAGACAGACAGACAGACAGACAGACAGACAGACAGACAGACAGACAGACAGACAGACAGACAGACAGACAGACAGACAGACAGACAGACAGACAGACAGACAGACAGACAGACAGACAGACAGACAGACAGACAGACAGACAGACAGACAGACAGACAGACAGACAGACAGACAGACAGACAGACAGACAGACAGACAGACAGACAGACAGACAGACAGACAGACAGACAGACAGACAGACAGACAGACAGACAGACAGACAGACAGACAGACAGACAGACAGACAGACAGACAGACAGACAGACAGACAGACAGACAGACAGACAGACAGACAGACAGACAGACAGACAGACAGACAGACAGACAGACAGACAGACAGACAGACAGACAGACAGACAGACAGACAGACAGACAGACAGACAGACAGACAGACAGACAGACAGACAGACAGACAGACAGACAGACAGACAGACAGACAGACAGACAGACAGACAGACAGACAGACAGACAGACAGACAGACAGACAGACAGACAGACAGACAGACAGACAGACAGACAGACAGACAGACAGACAGACAGACAGACAGACAGACAGACAGACAGACAGACAGACAGACAGACAGACAGACAGACAGACAGACAGACAGACAGACAGACAGAGAAAAGAGATAGGGAAATGCCAGGAGACGAAAAGGACCCCAAAAAACACAAAGATGACGAATACGGGGACAAGGAGCAAGAAGATGGAGAAGACAGTGATTGGCGTAAAGTCGAAAACCAGAAGGAGAAAGGAGAAGAGGAAAAAACGGAAGGAAGAGGAACAAAGGAACGAAGAGAGGAAGAAGGAAGTCAAGAAGAAGGAAAACCCCAGGCATCGTAGAGAGAGAAGTAAGGGCGACGCTCTGGTTATCGAGGCGAAAGACAAAACGACATACGCAGCACTCCTCCGGAAAGTGAGAGAGGATCCGGAGTTGAAGCAACTAGGCGAGAACGTGGTGAAAACCAGGCGCACCCAGAAAGGCGAGATGCTCTTCGAGCTGAAGAAGGACCCGTCGGTGAGGAGTTCAGCTTTCAAGGAACTCGTCGAGAAATCTCTTGGCGAGGACGCGAACGTAAGAGCCTTATCGCAGTAGTCAGTGGTCGAGTGCAAGGATCTGGATGAGATCACAACGGAAGACGAGGTACGATGTTCGCTGAAGGTGCAAGGCAATCTGGGAGATGTGCCTATGACAATCCGGTTGAGGAACGCGTACGGTGGTACACAAACGGCGTCGATACGACTTGCGACGGACGCAGCTAACGAGTTGCTGAAGACAGGACGAGTCAAAGTTGGGTGGTCAGTATGCCCCCTGAAAGCTATCCCTCGGGTTACCAAGCAAATGGAGAGATGCTTTAAGTGCATGAACTTTGGTCACCAGGCGAGAAACTGTAAAGGCCCTGATAGATCTGATCTGTGCAGGAAATGCGGAGAGAAGGGGCACGTTGCTAAAGACTGTATGAAGCAACCGAGGTGCATGCTATGCAGAAAGGAGGACGGAAACGGTCATATGACGGGAAGTTTCAGGTGCCCAGCTTACAAAAAGGCAATAGCGGGCCAATAGTAATGGAGATAACCCAAATAAATCTCAATCATTGTGACACAGCACAGCAACTGTTGTGGCAGTCGACAACGGAAACAAAGTGCGACGTTGCAATGATTGCGGAGCCGTATCGAGTCCCTCCCGATAACGATAACTGTGTGGCCGATAGAGCAGGGATGGCGGCAATACAAGTTATGGGCAGGTATCCCATACAAGAAGTGGTGACGAGCTCTTACGAAGGTTTTGTGATCGCCAACATTAAATAATGGAACCTTCGTGTGTAGTTGCTATGCACCCCCGAGATGCACAATGGAGCAGTTTCACCAGATGCTAGATGGACTCACCGGGGAGCTCACCGGACGGAGACCAATCGTCATTGAAGAAGATTTCAATGCTTGGGCAGTGGACTGGGGAAGCAGATGTACCAACGCAAGAGGGTATAGCCTGCTGGAAGCTCTGGTAAAGTTGGACGTCAGTCTGGCCAACGAAGGAACCATCAGCACCTTCCGCAAAGATGGTAGGGAATCCATTATCGACGTCACTTTCTGGAGTCCGTCGTTAGTGGCAAGTATGAACTGGACAGTGTGTGAGGAGTACACTCATAGTAACCATCAGGCGATTAGGTACACGGCAATGTGGAAAACGAAAGTAAGCAAGCGGAGGTGGAAGACGAAGGCATTCGACAAGGATCTCTTTGTAGAAGCTCTCCGGGTAGACAGCAGCGTCCCAGACCAAAGCGCGGACGAGTTGACCGAATCGTTAGCGAGGGCATGCGACACAACCATGCCGAGGAAATCGGAGCCAAGGAACAGACGGGGCGCCCAGCTTACTGGTGGAACGAGGCACTTAGCATGATGTCGATGATGGTAAGGCAGTATCGGTCCCCGTTGATTGGTGGAAAGGGGCCGACGATGTCAATGTTGATGTGGCAAAATCTATCGTCGGGTATGGCGTACCGACCGAGAGATGAGTGTGTGTGGCCTCCTTCGAGCGTTGGCATTCCAGGCATCTTCTTGTGTAGTTGACGCTGTCCCTCCGTATACTTGGCCAGACGAACCGCTGACTCATTAGCTTGCCTATCGCATGTGAAAGGTTGTGTGTTGCTTGAAGAAACTGATCGCGAAATCTTTTCGTGATGAAGGGACGGACGCGATCACCGAAACAGTCGCATGATGTGAGCTGCCTGGAATGGTGAATTGTTTTAAATTTAACGACGTTTTCAATTTACCTTCCAGTATCGCTCGTAATTCGTCGTCGGTTTCTTGATCGGCAGCGAGAGCGTCGAAGTTCATCGATGGAATAGCGCAAACGGCTGCAATTCGTGAGAATAAATCTGGTGGTTATTTGTCCGATGTAGTCTAGTTGACAAGCTTGACGGTTTGAGGCTTTGTCCGGGTTTTGGTTGAATGCAAATACTATCGGTTTGTGATCAGTCCTTCGTCCTTCCAACATGAATTTGAAGTGTCGAACTGCCAAATAGATTGCGGTGAGCTCTCGATCATACGTGCTGTATTTCAGTTGAGCCTTATCGAATTTCTTCGAGAAAAAACCCAAAGGCTGTACATCATTATTGATAACCTGATGTAGCACCGCTCCAGCTGCTACATCAGATGCGTCTACCCACAACGAAAGCTCTGGTGGGAGCGAGAGGTCACAGTCAGAAAGATGACATGGAAACCCAACCCGAATTCTTCGTTCGAAGACGCGAGTTTTCCCAGGCTCCTATCAGATGACCAAAAAGTTTCTCGTTCACTTTGCCTGGACTGGTGAAACGTGTCAGAAGTGATCGTAGTCGCGTATAACCAAAAAGTGATTAGACTTGCCCTTTGTAGTTTCCTCAGTGTTCTTTAACTTCTCTGATCGTTACAGCTTAGCTTGTGTTAGCCTTTCCCAAAAGAAAAAAAAAACCCCCGTTTACCGTAGTGAAATCGGTGCAGCGAGAAATCGAACAGAAAGGTATGAAAGTCGTGCGTGGAAAGGTAGCGTTTCTCTCTAAACCTTTTCATCAACAGCCGTTCGACGGTTTATTTCTCGGGTTCAGGAAAGCTACGTTTCGTATAGTGAACACTTCCGGAGACCAGGCAAGCGTTGCTGGCCATTGTCATCGTGTGGCCAAGGAGGGCTGCGCCATCAACATCGCGCCCGGTCCGGAGCGAATCATCCGTCGTAAAAGCATCCGAATCCGACCACGTGACCGGAATCGTGACCTTTCGAGAGTCGGTAGACCGAACGCGCTCTGGTAGGTGGATTCACCATCGGCCTGTCGAACACGAGGTTGAACCGCCAAGCCAAACCAACAAAGAACTCCACCCAACAATAGCGAGCTGAGCCAGCTCACGCAACATTAGCGACACCCGTCGTTTGTTCTCGCCGGTTGCAAAGCATGGACATCGCACCGGCAAAACCCATGTAAGCTGAGTCATCGTGCGCGACAATATCGACAACCGTCGCTTTTTTTCGCTGGTTGCGCAGGATTTTAATCGCACCGGCCACCGCATGTAAGACCGAGACCGTGAGTACAACCCGCTAAATGTTTTCCATGTGCACATGTGACGTCGGGAGGGAAGAACGCTCTGGTTAGAGAGAACGCACGCTTTAGGTAGGGAAGTCTGGGCCTAGAATAGTATCGTCTTAATAAATAAATTGTGTTACCATGAGTTAGAACTCAATGTTTCAAAGTGTTCGTAGAAACCCTACCTGTGTTAGCGTTATTGATGTTGAAGTTCACCTGAGGAATCTCCTTTTGCGCTCGTTCGTTGAATTAGTCTTGTTCCATTCATTTTAATGAATGGTCGTTTCCCTTTCTGTGACGGAATCGCCATCTCGAGGATTGTGTAGGAAACTACCAGTGATGAGAAGCTTTAGTTGGGTAAACGCTTCCTTTCGTGCGGAGATTTAGGGTAGAGTGAGTCATGCCTGCTTACTGATTCGGACATCTAGTAATTCGAACGCTAGGAAAGTTGAGGGGAGTTGGATCGTTCTGCAAACCGTTCGTCAGGGCCTTCTTATGGCCTTTTCTTTGGCGAGTCTCATCCCGGGCAATTGATATCCGAGCGAGTAGTCCTCTAACGAGGTGGCGCTTAAGCTACTCCCTTAAGGCCTACGCACATTAGATCCGGATCGGACGCGTTGCGGCAAAGTGCGGATCTAATGTGGGTGGCCCTTTACAGTGAACGATCGAGCTCACCCCACCTTTGTAGTTTTCTGGGCTTATTGAGGTTTTCAGTAGAACCGCAACGGCACTCCTTTAAATGGAATACCGTGCGGCTACACCCTGTATAATAGTGGTAAAATCTTGCAGGTAAGGTAAAAGGTATCTGTCAGGGATTGTTTGATTGATCGATAATCTCCATCGTCTAGCAGTTGGGTTAGCCCATGTCAATGGGCTAGCCCAACTGCTAGACGATGGTCGACAAATTCCCAGTTTCATGAGGTTTTCGAACTCTTTTCGGGCTGCCACGAGCTTTTCAGGTGCAAGCCGTCTCGGCCGAGCGTATGTTGCTTGGCCAGTTGTTTCGATGCGATGAACTATGGAAGTTTTACTTACTGTGCCAGGCGGTGCCAGTATCGTGATGGATGGGAACTCAGCTAGCAATTCAGCATAAGGAGATGTTGTGCTGAACGTTTTTATCGAGTACTCACTGGTATGAGTTAAAACAGCCATTGTTTCGAGCTTCGTTGTGTTGTCGATTAGACGATGCCGCTTCAAGTCGATAAGTAAGTCGTGGTAGCAGATGAAATCGGAACCAATAATGCCTGTTGTCTGCAATAAGAAATTTCCACAAAAATTCCCGCCGGAGCCCGAGGCTAACTTTCAACAGAGTTTCTCCATAAACTTTAATCGGCGTTCCATTTGCGGCGAACAACTTGATGCTGGTAGGTTTCATACGGGTTAAATATATTTCGCCTGTTGGTAATTATGGCCAACTTCCAACGCAGGTTCAAGATGGCGTCATTGCTGATTGGATTTTGGTGGTTGTCCGAAAGAGCACGGTTTTCTGCAAGTACGTGCTTCTCTTCCGAATGTACGATGATACCAGCACATATCATACGAAGCTTCGTTGTCGTAGCGTTGATCCATTCTACTTCGATTGCGAGAACGTGAACGGTCCCGGAAGCTTCTTTGTGGACGGAACATCTGCTTGAACTTACTAGTGCGATTTCGCGTTGAAGGTCTTCAATACTGCTCGGAGTCGGTATTTCTGGGACGATTGATGGTGTCGTTGGAGAGAGTATTCCCATGGCATCAGCAATTGTTGCTTTTTTCTGATGGGTCGCTTTTTGAAGCAATCCCTGCTGCTTGAGCGTGAGAGGCGTGGATGTTAACCACTAAGCCGGGATAGTGGTAAGCATGATTGCCTCTCACCCCAAAAAGCCTTGGTTCAATCCCAGTTGGCACCGCCTGTATTTTCTGAGGCATAACATATAACATAACATAGTTTGGAAGATGCAAGGGATCGTTCCATGGGAGGTTGCGATGTGCGAAGCGTATTAATGGTTTTTGATCTCACTCGATGCGGATGACCTGGGACACGTGATAAGGTGCCCAAACC